GCTGCGTCTTCCAGCCCATGAACAACAACCTCACCGTGGTGAGCCCCCCCGCCGGCCCCCCAACCCGCCCCCAACCCGCCCCCGGCCCCCAACCCGCCCCCCGGCCCCGCTCCGTCCCCTCGACCCGACCCCGACGGCGCCGAGCTGCTCTGCTGCGTCTTCCAGCCCATGAACAACAACCTCACCGTGGTGAGCCCCCCCGCCTGCCCCCCAACCGGCCCCCCAACCCGCCCCCGGCCCCGGCGCCCCACCCCCGCCCCCGGCCCCGCTCCGTCCCCTCGACCCGACCCCGACGGCGCCGAGCTGCTCTGCTGCGTCTTCCAGCCCCTCGCCGCGGTGCCGGCCGGCCCCGGGAGGGGAATGGGGCAGGGGGCCTGTCCCTGCTGGGGGCCGCCGGCTCGCTCCGGGGAGGGGGCTGACGGCTCCGCGGCTCCCCCCACAGGTGGGCAACGGGAGGCACAACCTGCACGTGGTGAACATCTCGACGGGGAAGAAGGTGAAGGGCGGGTCGAGCAAGCTGACGGGCCGGGTGTTGGCGCTCTCCTTCGACGCCCCCGGCCGCCTGCTCTGGGCCGGCGACGACCGCGGCAGCGTCTTCTCCTTCCTCTTCGACATGGCCACGGGTGAGCCGCCCCCTGGGCAGGCGGGGGGTGGGGATCCCCCTGCCCCCCAGCCCTAACCGCCCCCTCTCCCCCCGCCCCACAGGGAAGCTGACCAAGGCCAAGCGGCTGGTGGTGCAGGAGGGCAGCTCCATCACCAGCATCTCGGCCCGCTCCTGGGTCAGCCGGGAGGCCCGCGACCCCTCGCTGCTCATCAACGCCTGCCTCAACAAGCTGCTCCTCTACCGGTGAGGAGCTCTGGGGGGCGCTCTGCCCCGGCAGTCAGGGCCGGGGGGTGCCGTCAGCGTGGGGGCGCTCTCCCCGGCAGTCGGGGCTGGGCGCCGGGGGGTGCCGGGGGGCAGGGTGGGGTCGCTCTTCCCTGGCAGTCGGGGTTGCCAGGGGGCAGGGTGGGGTCGCTGTTCTGGAGTCGGGGCTGGGCGGGGGATGAGGGGGAGGGTGGGGCGCTCTTCCCTGGCAGTCGGGGGACCGGGGGAGGGTGGGGTCGCTCTTCCCTGGCAGTCGGGGGTGCCGGGGCGAGGGTGGGGTCGCTCTTCCCTGGAGTCGGGGTTGCGGGGGCAGGGTGGGGTCGCTCTTCCCTGGCAGTCGGGGTTGGGGGGCAGGGTGGGGTCGCCTTCCTGGCAGTCGGGGCGGGGTGCCGGGGCGCAGGGTGGGGTCGCTCTTCCCTGGCGGGCGGGGTGCCGGGGCGCAGGGTGGGGTCGCTCTTCCCTGGCAGTCGGGGTTGCCGGGGGGCAGGGTGGGGTCGCTCTTCCCTGGCAGTCGGGGCGGGGGGGGTGCCGGGGGGCAGGGTGGGGTCGCTGTTCCCTGGCAGTCGGGGCTGGGCGCCGGGGGCAGGGTGGGGTCGCTCTTCCCTGGCAGTCGGGGGCGGGGTGCCGGGGGGCAGGGTGGGGTCGCTCTTCCCTGGCAGTCGGGGCTGGGCGCCAGGGGGTGCCGGGGGGCAGGGTGGGGTCGCTGTTCCCTGGCAGTCGGGGCTGGGCGTCGGGGGGTGCCGGGGGGCAGGGTGGGGTCGCTGTTCCCTGGCAGTCGGGGCTGGGCGTCGGGGGGTGCCGTGGGGCAGGTGGGGGCGCTCTCCCCTGGCAGTCGGGGCTGGGCGTCGGGGGGTGCCGGGGGGCAGGGTGGGGTCGCTCTTCCCTGGCAGTCGGGGCTGGGCGCCGGGGGGTGCCGGGGGCAGGGTGGGGTCGCTCTTCCCTGGCAGTCGGGGCTGGGCCGGGGGTGCCGTGGGGCAGGTGGGGGCGCTCTCCCCTGGCAGTCGGGGCTGGGCGTCGGGGGGTGCCGGGGGGCAGGGTGGGGTCGCTCTTCCCTGGCAGTCGGGGCTGGGCGCCGGGGGTGCCGGGGGGCAGGGTGGGGTCGCTCTTCCCTGGCAGTCGGGGCTGGGCGCGGGGGTGCCGTGGGGCAGGTGGGGGCGCTCTCCCCTGGCAGTCGGGGCTGGGCGTCGGGGGGTGCCGGGGGGCAGGGTGGGGTCGCTCTTCCCTGGCAGTCGGGGCTGGGCGTCGGGGGGTCCGTGGGGCAGGTGGGGGCGCTCTCCCTGGCAGTCGGGGCTGGGCGTCGGGGGTGCCGGGGGGCAGGGTGGGGTCGCTGTTCCCTGGCAGTCGGGGGGTGGGGGGCAGGGTGGGGTCGCTCTTCCCTGGCAGTCGGGGCTGGGCGTCGGGGGGTGCCGGGGGGCAGGGTGGGGGCGCTCTCCCCTGGCAGTCGGGGCTGGGCCCCAGTGGGTGGGGCAGGGGGGCTGTCGGGGGACCCTCCCCGGCGCTCACACCCGCTTTGCCCGCAGGGTGGTGGACAACGAGGGGACCCTGCAGCTGAAGAGGAGCTTCCAGATCCAGCAGGGCTCCCACCCCGTCCGCAGCATCTTCTGCCCCCTCATGTCCTTCCGCCAGGGGGCCTGCGTGGGTAAGAGCCACCCCACGGCGTGGGTCCATGGGGGAGCCCCCTCTGCTTGGTCCCCGTCCCCCACAATGCCCCGGGGCATGTGAGTCAGCCCATGGTTTCTCAAGCTTGCTGCTCAGCTCCCTCCCAGAATCCTCTGGGGTGGTGTGGGGGGAATCGGTCCCCTGGTTTCTGACCCCCAGAACTCCAGGCTCAGCCCCTCCATGGGGTTCCTGGGGCAGGCTCCACCCCCCAGGGGCTTTGTGCCTCTGGCTCCACCCCTCAGGCCCCACCCTTGACTCCACCCCCAGAGGGGGTCTGCCTGCCAAGGCCCTGCCCCTCCCTGGGGTTCTCAGGGCTGGGGTCCAGGCCCCGCCCCTGACTCCACCCCCTTGCAGTGACGGGCAGCGAGGACATGTGCGTCTACTTCTTCGACGTGGAGCGCACCAGCCGGGCCATCGTGAACAAGCTGCAGGGGCACAGCGCCGCCGTGCTGGGCGTCAGCTTCAACTGCGACGAGAGCCTGCTGGCCTCCAGCGACGCCAAGGGCATGGTCATCGTCTGGCGCCGCGAGCAGAAATAGGGCCCCCACCACCCCGCTCCCCCCTGAGCCCGGCTCCCTGGCCCTGGTGGCTGAGGGGCCTGGGTGCCCTCTGACCCCATGTAACCCTTTGTGGTTCTTGCCCCCAACGCCCCCGTCGTGTCTTCCCCCTTGGTGTGGGGGCCCCCCTGTGCTTAGCCCACTTCCTCCCTCCTCCTGTGAGCCAGGACGCCTGGGTTCTCTTGCTGGCTCTGGCCGGGCAGTCTCAGGCTGCTGGTCGGACTGGGGCAGGTCCCAGAGCTGCTTGCCCCCCTGCTGGTAAGGGGTTACTTTATTTGCTGGGGGGGGTGGGCTGCTACGGGGGCAGGTCGCCCTCAGTGGGCGGGTTGACCTACAGCCCTGCTTGAAGCTGCTGGTTCTACCTAGATCCCTGGGGCGGGGGGCTCAGCACGTGCCCCCCACCGCCCTGACGTAGCCACAGTACACGTAGGCTGAGGCAGCCTCTCAGAGTCGGTTCCCTGGGGCTGCCCTCGCTCCCCAGGGGCACGCTGCTGGCATGTCCCCTTGGGACCCGGCTGCCACAGAGCCTCCGGCCTAGACAGCAGGACACCTGGATTCCATGGTTGGGCTGAAGTCCCTGTGCCTCAGTTTCCCCATCAGTAGAAGAGGGCGAACAATACTGACAGGACGTGAAAACTGCTGCTGGAAAGCGCTAGCAGAGGGCCAAGCATTGTTAGGGGCTCGCTCCCCCTGCCTTGGTGACTGAGACCTGCTGTCCTTAGCCCCCCGACTCACTACCCCTGGGAGGCCTGGTTCTCACACAGGTGGATCCAGACAGGTGAGGTTTCTGCCCTGACCCATGCCAGCGGTGCTGCCAGCATGGGAGGGAGGGCCGCAGCTGGGCATATGTGGGGAGGCCCTGCCCCCTATAGCTAAGGGCTGTGGAACTAGGGCCAAGGGGCCTATTTAACCTGCACCTTCCACAGAACTAACAGCTGGGGCCTGGACCAATCCCAAACCTGTGAGTGTAAAAGGACAGTTCGCCCAGTGCTGAGATGCAGCCACCCCTGGGGCAGGGCAGCTAAGGAACAGCTGCGTATAACACATCACAGGGTGGCTTGCCCAGCACTGAAATGCAGCAGACTCTGGGATGGGACCCCTGAGGAACAGCCACACAGCAAAACTCCCTGCCAGTTTAGGACAGGAAGTGAAGCAAACTCCTCCATCTAAGCTTGTGCAGAGAAGAGATCATTTGGATTTAACTGGGAGGTTGGAATTAAACAGACGGCACTCCCCAGTGCCTAGGGAGAGCGCCCCCACCCCATTCCCGAGTACCCCCTCGACCCTGTTCTCTAGCCATTATAACAACGGGGCGCTGTTACCGCAAGCCAAAAGAACCAGATACCACCACCGGGTCCAGAATCAAACCATCTAATTGCCTTGATCGCAGACATCAGCTCTCGCGGCCCAGCTGCTCCCCAACCCCAGCTCCCTCCCCTCCCCCCCAATCAAAAATACCTGGTAGAAAAAGTCCTTTTACAAAATGCCCCAAATTGGTTTAAAAACATCGCCTTCCCCCCCACAGCTGCTTTGCCGGTTGCATAGGGACGCAGCGTCAAGTGCGGCTTCAAGTCGAATATTCCTGGATCCCCCCCAAACCGGCCGCTTCCCACAGGAGGCCGTGGCGCTCTGTACACAGTAGACAGGGCCTTTACACGGCCGTGGCAGAGCCAGGACGGCTCCGTCCCCTGCCACGGCCTGGGAACCAACTGATTAAAATCCATGACAGCAGTTCCTATAAAAACCCCCTTGACAGGAGGGAAAGAGCAGAGGGAAGCAGGCCCCACCCCGTAGAGTGAATGCAGGTAGGTGAGGTAAGTCCAATGGGGGGAGGGTGGGCATGGGCCCCCCTGCCCCTCCCCCAGAGCCCTGCGCGGTGGCGGCCGTGGGTTCCAGACCCCCGGCAGGGCACACAGGGGCTAGAAGAGGTACTTCCGGCAGGATGCGGCCCCGCACTTACACTCAATCCGCACCCGCTTCTTGGGAGAGCCGGCCAGGCCGCCAGCCCGGCCCAGGTTGGAGTCCATCCGTGTGCTCTCTGCATCCACCGGGTCCACTGTGGGGGAGGAGAGAAGGCATCAGGGGGAGGATCCCACCCCAGGGCTCTCCCAAGCAGTGGGGCCTGGCCCCCCTTCATGCCCCCCCAGAGGGCACTCACCCTGCATGTTGTAGTCGAAGGTGAGCTCCTCCCCAGCACGGATGTGCCGGGTGGCGAAGAGGGCGATCCGCGGCAGCCGCTCATCCAGGTTGTCAATGAACACGTTGTATACCTGCAGGTTGGGGTCACACTGCACCGGGGGGGAGGGGGTAGGTGAGTGGGGAAGGCAAAGCCTCCATAGCCCTGCCCCCTCACCACCTGCCTCCCCAAATACCCCTTCCCTCGCCAGAGCACCACCAGCTCCCTCCCCTGCTCCTTGGACCCACCCGCCAGGGTGGAGCAACTGAAACTGAAGCGATTTAAATCACCGCTTTGAATCGGCAAGCGGGGAGCCCAGTTTCCAACCCTCCATTTCAATCCCCTTCTGCGTCCGTGCTTTTCTGTTCTCTCCCTAGAGAAAAGCCGAGGCTCGTTGGTTGGTAATTGTTAAAACGTTGTGATTGGCAACTAAATGTCGCCTTTTCCCCAAATCTGGCCCATCTTTTCACTAATCCCTAGGACAGGCTACGTTTACACACATTTATTTAAGCAATTATATAGCAATTACATTATAATTTATTAATGAATTATCTGATTCAAATATAATTAATATTAATACATTATATTGTCATTTAGAAATATCTATAAGTAGGGCAATATGATGTATTAATATTGATAAATTATATTATCGTATTATCATAAAGCCTAGATCTCCGCTTGGAAGGATTAGATTTTTACTGGTCAGTGTTGGTAAACATCATTTTCCCCGCACACCCACAAACATGACAGCTAGGCAAAGTAAGAAAAATGCAGCTTGAAGGATATTGACTTTGTATGTCTTGACATGTGGTGTGTGTTCTTGTTCTAACAGCTATAAAACTTTAACTTTCTGAATGTTAGCATCTACTGTCACTATATAATTATAGCCTGACCCAACCTATTGTCTAACCCTGCCCCTCCCCCCACTGTCCCACAACTGTGAAACTTGACATCAATAAAGATCAGGAGAAAAGGATTAAAAATAAACAATTTTGTCCATCGAAATGATAAAAAATGACTTCTGCCAAGCCTATTTATAGCATAATTCATCAATCTTAATACATTATATTACACTAATTTGTTAATATTAATATTACACTAATGCAGTGTATATGAATTATTAATATAGAGGTTATGTATTTATTTGAATTCTTAAATTTTACTTTTTTATTATGTTAGAATTTGGTGAATGGCATTTCTTATTTAGTTGTTTTTTGGGGGGGATTCAACTCATGGTTTGTGTGAAGTTTAATTTTGATGGAAATTGTAATGAAAAGTGCACAAAAAGATTTTAAATTGTTTCGCTTTAATTCGTTCAATAAAACAACCATAAAATGTGCGGGATGCATATGGAAAAACAAAAGTAGAGTTTATCAAAACAGGGTTTGCATTTAAAACTGAGCTACTGTTAATTCCATGAAAACTACCTTAAAACCTGGTTGATGCGTAAGAACAAAAATGAGTTTATAAAAACATGGTTTTGCATTGAAAACTGACTGAGTTATTTTTCATTCATTAAATAAAACCTACCTTCAATGTGCTGGGTGTAGAAGAAGAAAAAAGTAAAGTTTATCTAAAACTGTTTGCATTTAAAACTAGGTTATTTTTAGTTGGACAAGGTGGGAGAGGTAAAAATCTTTTACTGGACCAACTTCTGTTGGTGGGAGGGACAAGTTTTCAAGCTTCACAGAGAGCTTCTTCAGGTCTGGAGAAGGTAACCAGAGTGTTATTTTTAGTTTAGAAATAATTTAAAAAATTAAGAATTATCAGTTCAATAACACGACCTTAAAGTGCACTGGAGCCATAAGAAGAAAAAAGTAGTTTATCAAAACGTGTTTTGCATTGAAAACGAAACAGTTCTTTTTAATCAGGTCGATAAAACTACTTTGAACATGCTGGATGCAGAAGAAAATAGGAGGAATATCAAAACGTGGTTTGCATTTAAAATGGATTTAGTAAACAAAGGGAGCATTCTCTGTAATTAGTGAATTTGAACTGATTGTTTCTAGTCTCCATGTCCTTCGGGATTTTAGATCGAGTAGATCTCTACCTTTCCCACCGAGTTTTTATTCAGAGACTGCAAGAGGAAACCAAGCTTTCCTGCTTTGCCAGCTCCTGATCAGTTTCTTAACTTGCAAGGGACTGGCCATTGAGCTGAGCTAGGTGAATAAACTGAACAAAAGCAAATATTCTCCCTACAAAATACATGAGGCAAGCCAGCGATTTCCACCGGTTCACTGCTTCAACTTTCTTTCAAACCTCCACAGCACACATGCCTGGCTGTCTAGTTACTGTGATTTAAATGATTTCCATAGATTCTCATAAATTTGGGGCCTTTACATACATTGTCAGCAATTCAAACTTTGTTTTAAATCATTTTTTCTTTCTAAGGGGGAAAAAAACGCCTATTTAACTTACATTAAAAAAACCGTGGCAGGGTGTTTTTTGTTTGTTTTTCAATCACTGATTTTTATCCACCCACAGGCTGCCCCCAGCCCCCTCCCTTCCCCGTGGCCTCTCCCTCCCCCCCCCCCCCCCCCCCGACTCACGCTGTGATTTACGAAGTGTGAGATGTTGCCATAGTAGGCAGCATCCACTGTGTAAACATCCTCCACATAGTCCAGATCAAAGAGGTAGGTCGCACCCTGGCGGTCGTAGATCTGCCCTCGTCGCTCCGCCTCCTCTGATGTGATGATCTGGGGGGACGGGATGGGATGGGGTCATGCTGGGAGCATGGCACTGGGGGACTCTGTGCGGCTGTTCCCGAGCCGCCCCGCCCCGCCCCAGAGGTGGCTGTATCTCAACACTAGGGAAGCCATCCCCATGCAGCTGCTGTCCCACCCCAGCAGTGGCTGCATCTCAGCACCAGGCGAGCCCCCCCACTTGTGACATTATGTGCAGCTGTTCCCCAGCTGCTCTGCCCCAGAGGTGGCTGCATCTCAACGTCAGGCAAGCCATCCCCATATGACAGACACTACGTTCCCCAGCGGCCCTGCCCCAGAGGTGGCTGCCTGGCGCTCCGTACCTCTCCCACATACTCCATGACGAAGCTGTTCTTGCGGATCTTCTCCAGGGTGCGCACGCCCCAACCGCGCCCGTTGGCGGTCCGGAAGATGCACAGATCGTAGCGGATGCCCCGCTGCACCACGCGGTTGGAGCACTCGGCCCCGCAGCGGCAGCGGGCGTTGCACTCGTAGATGGGCAGCCCCGCCCGGATGCGCACCTGGCCCAGCTCGTTGTAGGCAAACTTGTGGCGGGAGGCGCCAGGGCAGCAGCAGCCGCTGGCAGCCTCCGCCAGGCAGTCGCAGCACTCGCAGCCCACCGCCACCTGGGTGAGGGAGATGCCCTCGCCCACCTTGTACTCATTGATGTAGACGAAGTCCCGGGGCGGCCCGTCGAGATCCACCTCGTTCTCCACCACGATGCGCCCCTTGTGGTTGCGCTTGGCGTTCAGCTGGCGCTCCCAGCGCCACAGGGCCCGCCGCTGCTTGGCTTTCTGCACTACGTAGTTCGCCACGCCCTGGTCCAGCCAGCGGGCATTTTTCTTGGGCTTGCCGTCCCGCCGGATCCAGGCCTGCTCCAGGTCCTTGTGGAACTGCTTCAGCAGGCCCACACAGTGCAGGTTCTTCCGCGGCTCCCAGGTGTTCTCGGACTCCGGGTAGCCGCGCCACTTCACCAGGTAGAACTCCTCCTCCTGTCACCAGAACCCGTCAGTCAGCGGGCGTAGCCATGCCCCCTCCCAGAGATGGGACCCAGGAGTCCGGGCTTCCAGACACCTCTTCCCCCCACCCCCCGTACTGTGACCCACTAGACCTCCACTCTCCTCTTAGAGCCAGGAAGAGAACCTGGGAGTCCTGGCTCCCAGCTCCCCCCCGCCCCCATTCTAACCACTAGACCCCACTCCCCTCCCAGAGCCAGGGAGAGAAACCAGGAGTCTGGCTCCCAGCCCCCCTGCTCTCCCCATTGCAGGATGTGAGGGGCAATTGGAGGTGGGAAGACCCAGGCTGCATGGGGAGAATTGGAGGCGGAGGGCTGCAGGCTGCCCGGGGGTGGGGAGAGGGGAATTGGACATGGGCTGTAGGGGGGATCCGGGCTGAAGGGGGTTGGGCTGCAAGGATATTGGACGTGGGGGTTTCCCAGCTGCAGGGGGGGAATCCCAGAAGGGATCGGGGTCACAGGCTGGCAGACTCACCCGCACTCTCTTGTAGTCGCACAGGAACTCCACCTCGAAGTGGCTGAGGTTCCTGCGGGTGATGCCCAGCGAGGGGCAGCAAACCCTCTCCAGCCGGCACAGGTCCTGCAGCTGGGACCATGAGGACTTGCAGCACACGGCACAGCCTGCAGGCACACAGGTCAGCGTTAGGGGGCTGGCACTGGCTGGGCAGGGAGGGGAGGGACCCCAGGGAAGGCGGGGGGGGGGGAATCGCTGTGTGGTGGGGGAGCCCAGAGCTTGGCTAGCGGGGGCTGCAGGTCAGGAGTGAGAGGCACCAGCAGAGCTGTGATATCAGAAAGGGCCAAAGTGCAAGTGGGGGACCTGGGGTCACAGCTGTGAGGGTCGGTCAGCGGGAGGACAGCAGGGAATGTTGGGGGGCCGCGTGACGTAGAGAGAATCCCCTTGCGTCGGACAGGTTGGCCTGAGTGTATGGGGAGGGGGGGGGTCACGCTGCATTGAGGCTTTCACCAGAGGGTACTGGGGGGGGTCACCCCACATCGGGGGACTGGTGAGCCTACCAAGGGAGAGGAGGTCAGCCCGAGCACGTGCCGGGGGAGTGGCTCACCCCTTGTCCGAGGGTTGCCCCTCATCCAGAGGTTGTCATGAGCACGTGGTTAGCCTGAGCGTACAGGGAGAGGTCACCCTGTCTAGGGGGCTTGGTGTGAGCGTCCGGGGGGGTCACCCTGCGTCGGGAGGTTGGTGCAAGCATCTCGGGGAGGTCACCCCGCGTCAGGGGGTTGGCGCGAGCCTCCGGGGGGGGTCACCCCACGCCAAGGGGTTGGTGTGAGCGTCCGGGGGGTCACCCTGCATCAGGGGCTTGGTGTGAGCATCTGGGGGGGGTCACCCTGCGTCAGGGGGTTGGCGCGAGCCGTCCGGGGGGGTCACCCCGAGTCCGGGGGTTGGTGTGAGCGTCCGGGGGGGTCACCCTGCGTCGGGAGTTGGTGCAAGCATCTCGGGAGGTCACCCCGCGTCAGGGGGTTGGGGAGCTCGGGGGGGTCCACGTCAGGGGTTGGTGTGAGCGTCCGGGGGTACCCTGCGTCGGGAGGTTGGTGCAACATCTCAGGGAGGTCACCCCGAGTCAGGGGGTTGGGCGAGCCTCGGGGGGTCCCCACGTCAGGGGGTTGGTGTGAGGTCGGGGGGTCACCTGCGTCGGGAGGTTGGTGCAAGCATCTCAGGGAGGTCACCCCGCGTCAGGGGGTTGGCGCGAGCCTCCGGGGGGGGTCACCCCACGTCAGGGGGTTGGTGTGAGCGTCCGGGGGGGTCACCCTGCGTCGGGAGGTTGGTGCAAGCATCTCGGGGAGGTCACCCCGCGTCAGGGGGTTGGCGCGAGCCTCCGGGGGGGGTCACCCCACGTCAAGGGGTTGGTGTGAGCGTGTCACCCTGCATCAGGGGCTTGGTGTGAGCATCTGGGGGGGGTCACCCTGCGTCCGGGGGGTTGGTGTGAGCGTCCGGGGGTTGGCATGAGCATCTGGGGGAGGTCACCCTGCCCGTGGGAGGTTGCGTGAGCATAAAGTGGGGGGTCACCCTGCACTGGGGGGTTGGCGTGACCGTACGTGGAAAGTCACCCCACGCCAGGGGGGTTGGCGTGAGTGTACGGGGAGGTCACCCCACGTTGGGGGCTAGGCATGAGTGTACATGGGGGGTCACCCCGCACCCAGAGGTTGGCGTAACCGTACGGGGGGGGGGGTCAATACCAGCCTACAAAGGGGAGGTGCTCTGTGCCAGTGGGGTGGGGGCACCCAGGGGGAAGTGGGGGCGCCCTGGGGGATCTGTGGCACCCTCAGGGTCACGTGCGCCCCTCCCCCCGCACCAGCGGGGGCAGCGCCCCTCCCCCCACTCCGCCCTGCCCCGTTTCCCGCCCTGGGCGCGAGGGCAGCCCCCTGAACGCGCGCTCTCAACCGGCCCCCTCCTTCCTTAACGGTCGCTTCTGCTGCCGCCTCGCGCGCCGGAAAAGGGGGGGGGGGGAACTAGCTCCGCGCTCGCGCCACTCCTCATAGAAGCCCCCACCCCGCGCGCCCCTCCCGCCGCGCGCCCAGCCCGGCCACCCGCCACGCTCCGCGCGCGCCGGCTTCCCTCGCTCACCTTTTAAATTTTCCGCCATCTTTTTTTTTTATTTTTTTTTTTTCCCCTCCAGCCACTGGGGCCGCCCGAAACTTTTCCTCCCAGGGGGCGTGGCCAGAGGGGTGGGGGAGGGAGAGCGACGTGCCCCGCCGCGGCCGTTCCCATTGGGCGTCCGGCCTGATTGACGCGCCCCGCCAGCCAATTGGCGCCCAGGGCTCCGGCCGCGGGTGTCATTTGCATCTCCCAGAGTGCTCCGCGCCGCCGTGCGACCGCAAGAGTCACGGAAATAGCTCACAAGGCACCAAATTAACCCGTTTCAGCCCAGTCTGCCTCAAAAGCCGCCTGGTGGCTTAGATAAGAGGGCTTCTTGGCGCCATCCTGGGTGGAGGGGGAGGGCAAAAGACGCTCACCCTATTCTGTAAGTGACACGTCAGCCTAAAACAATATGTAGTGGTGCCCCACCCATGTCAGGGCACCCCTGGTTCGCCCTGATCCTCTTGCTGTGGAGTCAGAGTCACCGCCTGGCTCGAACAGCGAGGCCAGGAGGGTTGGCATCAACCAGGCACCAACGTCAATGCCGGAAGGGTTGGCGTCACCCAGGCGCCAACGTCGAGGCCGGAAGGGTTGGCGTCACCCAGGCACCAACGTCAAGGCCGAGAGGGTTGGCGTCACCCAGGCACCAACATCAAGGCCGAGAGGGTTGGGTCACCCAGGCACCAACATCAAGGCCGAGAGGGTTGACGTCACCCAGGCGCCAACGTCAAGGCTGAACGGGTTGGCGTCACCCAGGCGCCAACGTCAAGGCCGGGAGGGTTGGCGTCACCTAGGTACCAATGACAGGGCCAGGGGAAGGGGTAACAATCGCTTGGACTGGCTCAGGCTGCGGCGGGTAATGTTCATTGAAGAGGCAAGAGAACGTTCTCCAGCTCTGGCTTGCTCATCCTGTTCGGAGCTGCGGCGAGACCCTTAAGAGTAAAGCAACGGGGACATAAAACCCCATTAACCAAATCAAAATTGATAGGCTTGGAAAGATTCGCTTTTGATCGGTAAATTCCAGGCGACGTCCAGTTCCCCGCAGACGCAAACCCAGAAAAAGCGTTTCCATTAATAACTGTCTAAACTGAGAGCAAGGCCACGTAAAACAAATTGCTGCTTGAGACCATGTTTGAGTTTGAACTGGGGCTATTGACTTTATCTATCTTGAAGAGACTTTGTGTTTTAAAGCGTTCGCTTTTTGAACGCAACCTCTGCAGTCATGAAGTAGTTATTATCTGACTCCCCCACGGCACCCACATTTTTTCCCGCCTTCTAAATAAACAGTGATCCTTCGAGCCATCGAAATGATTGAAAAATGAAAGTCGAATTCTGCTCCCTCGAAACGATCAAAGAAACAAATAAAAATCAATTTCTGCCAAGCCTTGAAATGAATAAGCCATAACTCACGAGCAAGTTCTAAGTTGCAGGTGACGACCACACCATTATAACAAGACATAGTCTAGTGGCTGCTCCGGTCTACGCTCAAAATTGAGATCAACCTAGCTACGGCACGCAGGGGTGTGCAAAATTCACCCCCGCGATCCCCCAGAGCACCATCGTCAAGCTGACATAACCCACAGGTGTAGACCCAACTAAGAATTCCTCCGCCGACCTAGCTACGGGTGAGATGGATCAACTTTTACAGACCCCTTCCTTTGCCGTTGAAAGCATCAACACTAAATCTTCTGTAGTTATGCCACCATAGCACATAGGGCGTAGACACAGCCTCAGATCAAGCTCTCCGGCTTCTAATCCTGTCACTCAGACGTTGACCCAGACCAGTGGGTTTTAATCCACCCCAAAATCTGTGCTGATGACCCACGCCGGGCTCTTGAGCCCCACATATCGGCAGCTTGGTTCCAACTTGGCTTGTTTTTTCAATCGGGCTGAGATCAAAACATGGAGCCAAGTTGGAAGGAGATCGGTTGGGTTGTTGCTGATGCCAAAGAGGTTGGTGGAGACCAGAGTATTGCCAAGCCCTGGGTTTCGAGGGGGTAATGGGAGCAGATAGGGGAAGCTGGGGCCTTGGGGAGGGGAATTCTGGGTAAAAGATGGGGCAGCACGTCAAGCAGAGAGCTGTCTTTATTGCAAAGGGGCCAGGCAGGCTGGGGAATCACAGGGGAGTGGGGGACAGCACCCAGTGCGGGTGGGGGTGCAGAAGGGGGGGAGCTTTTCTTGCTGGGGACGGTGCTCAGTCGTCCCATTCATCATCGTCCTCCTCGTCCCCGCCATTGTCCTCGCCTTCGTCTGTGGGAGGAAGCGGAGGGTGAGTGGCGGAGGGGGCAAGGGGTAGGGGAGGAGGGGCATGGCACCCACTCCCACCGCTGCCGAGGCGGGATGGGGCGACTCACCCGAGGAGTGGATCACTTTGCTCCGCTTCTGCATGACGTGCATGAGCGCCCCCACCAGGCCCTCGGAGCTCTGTGCGGGCGGCGGGGAGTCCAGCATCTCGGGGGTCTGCAATGCAGGGGAGGGGGGTCAGGGCCCACAGCACCATCCCCTGCACTCACCAACCCTCCTGGCACCACCAGGACCCCCAGCACAGACCCTCTGCACCCCCCTGGTACCACCAGGACCCCCAGCACAGGCCCCCTGCACCCACCCACCCTCCTGGCGCTGCCAGGGAGCCCAAGACCAACCCCCTGTACCCACCCACCCCCCTGGCACCACCAAAGCCAGCTCTAACTCCCTCCTCCCCATCTCTGCTCCCCTCGGTCACCCCCTCCATCACACCTGCCCCCAACTCCCCTAACCCCCCCATCTTCCCCTTCCCCACCCCTCAGCCACCCTGTTCCCCTCCCTTCCCCCCACTTCCTCCATCCCTTCCCCCCACTCAGCCCCCATCTCCCCTCTTCCCTGCCCCCAACTTCCCTTTCCTCACCCCCAGCCACCTCCGTCCCCCTCCCTGCCCTCACCTCCTCCATGCCCGCCCCCCATTCAGCCCCCATCTCTCCTCATTCCTCACCCCACAGCCACCTCGTCTCCTCCTTGCCCCCCACTCAGCCCCCAGCTCCCCTCCTCCCTGCCCCCTACCTCCCTCATCCTCACCCCCTCCCTGCCCCGCATCTGCCCCACAGCTCACCTTGTTGAGCTGGATGCCTTGGCGGATCTGGTCCAGCAGGGCCCCACGTCCCTTTTGGGGGGGAGCAGGCTGGCTCCCTGGGGAGCTGACCCCCCCTGAAGGAAGTGGGGGAGGGGGACAAGGCCCTGAAGAGACTGGAGGCGGAGGGGGCGGCGGGGGAGGTGGGGGTGGGGGGGCTGCCCCAGCAGCAGGCGGTGGGGGGGGCGGACCAGACCGGGAGACAGGGGGAAGGGGCCCACGAGGAGGGGGCAGATGCCCCCTGGGGGGATGGGAGGGAACCGGCCCCCTATTTGGCATAGATGAGGGAGGTGGGGGGCCGCCTGGGATGGGGGGCAATGGGCCAGACCTGCCCCTCGTTGAGGCAGGGGGTGGGGGAGGGAGGGGCCCGGACCGGGTCATGGGGGGCGGAGGAGGTGCTGGACCTGTGGGGAGAAATGAACTGCAATTAAAGCCCAGCCTGTAAAGAGGCTCTTCCCCCGCGTCTCCCGCCCCGTTCCCTGAGAATCCCAAATCGGTGCACGGGGAGGCTTGCACGGGACTGACATGCAGCTGCCTCTGGGTCAGCGCAGCTGGGGAACAGTTTCACATAATGCCGCACAGGGACGACTCGCCCAGCCCTGAGATGCAGCCACCTCTGGGGCACAGCAGCTGAGGAACAGCTGCACATAACACTGCACAGGGAGAGCTCACCCTGGCGTCTCAGCTCCTCCTTCACAGCCTCCAGCCCACCCTGGCCTTCAATGAAATCGTAGATGAGTTTGGAGGTCTCTGCGTCGGTCAGCTGCGCCTCGCTTATCCCGGCCTGGGAGAAAAGCGTCTTCAGGTCGGGGTCCAGGTTATTCACCTAGAAGAGAGACAGATGGAGGAAGGCGGCTCAATCCCCAGGCAAATGCCCCCCAAATTCATGCTCTCCCCACACACAGCTGCAGGTGCCCAGATGGACAGAGCAGCAAGGCTCCAACCCCTGAAATCCGGGGACGGGGGATTTATGGATCATGCCTTAAATTAACTCCCCCAGCAGCCCTCGGGGACCCACTAACACTGACCCCCTAAAATCCTGACCCACTGGGCAGAGCAAGCAGCTAGGGGGGGCGTTCTGGAGGGATCCAATTGGGAGGTTATGTCAGCTGCCCCACCCCAGAGCTGGCTGCATCTCAGCACCAGGCAAGCCTTCCCCATGTGGCGTTATATGGGGCTGTTCCCAGGCACCCCACTCCAGAGATGACTGCATCTCAGTGCCAGGAGAGCCTTTCACTGTGGCGTTTTATGAGGCTGTTCACAGCTGCCCCACCCCAGAGGCGGCTGCATCTCAGTGCCATGCGAGCCATCCTCTTGGGGGTCTCATGCCCAGATTATTGGGCCGCTGCCTTTGAGAGCCGAAAAAAACCTGTGCCGTCCAGAGCCCGTGAAACTGGCTGCATGGGCCAGATTTCCCAACACAGCTGCAGCAAAAAAGGGATGGTCCGAGGAAAACCTGGCCCGATGGCAACCAATTTTGCAGGCCAGATCACCTAGCCCCTGGCTGTGGTATGCCACAGGGCCCGTGTTAATTCCTAGTTGAACTTTAAGGAAAAACACACTATCTGGAGTCCGAAAAAACATCGTGGCGCTGGGACCGCCCCCTGCCCCTTGCGCCATCCAGATGCCCGGTAGCTCTGGCAGCTCCTCTGGCTGGCTGTGACTTGCCCCTTTCCTGTGGGCACGTGCCAACCGCACTGCCAATAACAGTCGCACTGCCAACTCCCCGAGCAGCTGTGTGTGTGGGTGGGGGCTGGTGGGGGGGAACGTGCATTGGAACAACAAGATGAGTTTGGAAAACGCTGGGGATGGGGGGGCCACAGGGAGGCAGTATCTTGGGCAGCCCTGGCTCAAGAAAACCCCAAATTTGCTCCCATAACACTCCATGGGGCACTGAGTTGCAGCTACTTCTGGGGCATGGCAGCTGGGGAACAGCTGCACATAACACCCCAGGGAGATAGCTCGCCCGGCACTGAGATTCAGCCACCTCTAGAGCAGGGCAGCTGGGGAACAGCTACACATAACGCTGCATAGGGATGGCTTGCCTGATGCTAAGATGCAGCCACCTCTGGGGCGGGGCAGCTGGGGAACAGCTATGCACACCGCATCACGCCTGGTAGCCACAAGCGCGAGTGATAACCGCCCTCCCCCCATACACAGACATTGCTAACGCCAAAGCTTTACCCCACGACCTGTCCTTGGCCCCCTTCCCAGCCCCCCCCGCCCCCCGAGCCCTTCTGATCTCTGGGACCCCAGGGTCAGATCCCCACCATACCCCTGTCTCTGAAGCTACATACATCAAAACCAGTGTTGGGGTCCCAGCCGACGTGGGTGACATGCCTGGAGGGAGAAGAAAGATTAGCCAGCTCGAGAGGGGCCAGGTCCCGCGCCCCATTCCCCGGCCCCTCTGAGCCAGCCAGTCCCCCCGCCCTTGGGCCAGATGGGAGACGGTGTCCCCTAGAGGGTCTAGGCCCCAGCCCCATTCCTGCCCCACTGATGCCAGCTCTCACTTGAATCCGCTTGGGGCGCCGATGTCGGCCTTGGAGATCTTTTTCTTGCCCTTCTTCTTCTCGGCGGCTGTGGGCACCGGCAGCCCCCGGTACCGGGATGAGGTGATGTCCGGGTTCTGGATGTCCATCGTCATCAGGTTCAAGGAGGAGGAGGGGGAATTCGGCTGTTTGCTGGGACCTGTAGGAGAGAGAGACGGGGCTGCGGGGGGTGGGATGGGGGGCTGGGCAGGGGGCGCTCTCCCCTGGCAGTCAGGGCCGGGCACTGGGGGGCTCCGTGCTGTGGGGGGGCGGGGTGGGGGGCTGGGCAGGGGGCGCTCTCCCCTGGCAGTCAGGGCCGGGCACTGGGGGGCTCCGTGCTGCGGGGGGCGGGGTGGGGGGCTGGGCAGAGGGCGCTCTCCCCTGGCAGTCAGGGCCGGGTACTGGGGGGCTCCGTGCTGCGGGGGGCGGGATGGGGGGGCTGGGCAGGGGGCGCTCTCCCCTGGCAGTCAGGGCCGGGTACTGGGGGGCTCCGTGCTGCGGGGGGCGGGATGGGGGGCTGGGCAGGGGGCGCTCTCCCCTGGCAGTCAGGGCCGGGTACTGGGGGGCTCCGTGCTGCGGGGGGCGGGATGGGGGGCTGGGCAGGGGGCACTCTCTCCTGGCAGTCAGGGCCGGGTACTGGGGGGCTCTGTGCTGCGGGAGGGCGGGGGGATGAATTAACCCTTTCAAGACCCCCACCTCCAAGCCGCTTACCATTCATGTCTCCCCCGGGCATCGGGGATCGGGGCAGCGTCATCGCCCGTCGCTCTAAAGGAGGCAAAAAGCCGCGGTCAGACCCATGTCACCAGCTCCCCCCCGCCCCCAGCTGGTGGGAGAGTCGGGGGGTCAACCCCTAACCTGCCCCTCCCCCCCAATTGCAAAGGACAGTGGGATAGAAGGGGACTCACCTTCATTGACCGGGGGAGGTGGCGGGGGGAGCTGCCGTTTCTCTGAGGAAAGAGGAGAACAAGCGCTAGGATCCTGGCCTGGGCTGGCTCGGGGGGGGAACGGGGCATGGGGTCTGTCCCCTCTAGGGGGCGCCGGCTCCCCACCCCTCCACATACCCATCCTCTGCTGTTGCTTCTGGACCTTCTCCTGCACCAGCGTGTAGAAGTTGTGGGCCTCAGCCTCATCCGCAAAGTTCAGCCCGGCCTGGCATTCCTGAGAGCAAAAGGCACCTCACTGGTCCTGGGGGGGGTGACACGCCCCTCCCAGAGCCGGGAGAGAACCCAGGCGTCCAGGTTCCCAGTGCCCCTGCTGTAACCACCAGACCCCGCTCCCCTCCCAGAGCCGGGTGGGAACCCAGGCGTCCAGGTTCCCAGTGCCCCTGCTCTAACCACCAGACCCCGCTCCCCTCCCAGAGCCGGGAGAGAACCCAGGCGTCCAGGTTCCCAGTGCCCCTGCTGTAACCACCAGACCCCGCTCCCCTCCCAGAGCCGGGTGGGAACCCAGGCGTCCAGGTTCCCAGTGCCCCTGCTCTAACCACCAGACCCCGCTCCCCTCCCAGAGCCGGGAGAGAACCCAGGCATCCCGGTTCCCAGCCTTACTTCTTGTTGGTAGCCCTTAATTTTCTCCTTCTTTTCACCCCCCCCCCCCCGCCCCCAGTCTCTGAACTGTTGTCTCTGGGGGCAGGGCTATGTCTGGAAGCCCCGCCCCACTGATCGACCACCACCCCGGCCCTCTCTGGGGCAGATACTCACGTCCCCGGGGAACGTGTGGAAATAGGGGGTGACGGCGGAATAGACCAGCTGGCTGGAGAGCTCCATCTCCCATGTCAGCCTCCTCTCCTGCAAGAGAAAGGGAAACCCCAGTAAACGCCCCATCAGCAGGGGAAGCTGGGAGCCAGGATGCCTGGGTTCTCTCCTCAGCTCTGGGAGAGGTGTGGGGTCTAGTGGGTTAGAGCGGGGGGGCCTTGGAGCCAGGACTCCTGGGTTCTCTCCTCGGCTCTGGGAGCGAAGGTGTGGTCTGGTGGTTAGAGCAGGGTGGAGAGGGCTGGGAGCCAGGACTCCTGGGTTCTCTGGACAGTGCTGGGAAGGGATGGGGAGCCACGAGGGTAGGGCAAGGACTCACCTTGATATTGAAGAGGCGGATGAAGTAGGAGCGCCGGGGGTTGTCCTTGACCAGGCACAGGACCCCGCAGCCCTGCTTACCCCAGACCTGGCTGTTGGGGGGCAGGGCCCAGTACAGCTGGGCCACCGACGTGGCCAGGGTCTGGCAGAGAGACAACCGAGTTACAGAGCGATCACGGCTGAGATGCAGCCAGCTCTGGGGCGGCTGGGGAACAGCCTCACAGAACGCCGCGCGGGGAGGGCTCGGCCGGCCCTGAGCGTGGCCCCCCCTGGGCTGGCAGTTCCTGTCTTGGTTTCTGGTGTTGGCTGAGGCTCCGGGCTCTGCAGCATCACTGCGCTGGGCCCCTCGCAGCCCCCCTCAGCGCCACTCACCCCGCGTCCTCCTGAGCGGGGTGGGGGGGGATACAGCAAGGAAAGAGCTGGTGCCCCTGACTCCCGACCTGCAGCCCCCTGCTAGCCCAGCCCTGGGGCACCCCCAGATCTGCTGATGCCCCTCACTCCCGACCCGCAGCCCCCTACCCCAGCCCTGCCGGTGCCCCTCACTCCTGACCTGCAGCCCCCTGCTACCCCAGCCCTGGGCTCCCCCCCTGCTCTGCCGGTGCCCCTCACTCCCAACCTGCAGCCCCCTGCTACCCCAGCCCTGGGCTCCCCCCCAGCTCTGCCGGTACGCCTCACCCCCGACCTGCAGCCCCCTCCTGTCTGCATCCTCTGGGCCTCATGTCCTCACCGTGCATTTCCGGCCCAGGAGCTCAAACACCTGCTGGTTTTCATGATCCAGGAGGAGATGGGAGGCGACGTTCTCCTGCTGCGCTCGCGCCCCTGGCCTGGACCCCCGGCTCATGCTGGCTCCTGGCTCCAGCCCCCGGCGGGTTCTCAGGGTCTCTCCCCTCCCTGATCTCGACCTAGGGAACTTCCGCGTTGCGGGGACTTTTTTCAACAGGAAGCGCAGAAGAAACCACCGACCAACGCTGAGCGCCCGGGGCCTGGGGAAGTTGGGCTCTGCGAAGGGCCCCAGCCAGGGCTGGGAGTTAGGGGCACCGGCAGAGCTGGGGCGGGGAGGGAAAACCCGGCGACGGTTGGGGCCGGCCTGCCTCTCTGAGCAATGGGCTCAGGCTCTCGGCAGACTCAGGCAAAGTTGCATCCGCCTGGCGCATGGTTTGTGTTTCCTATGCAGCCGTTTGGGGGTGTGAGTATGATGCACCTTTGAGGTTGTGGGGATTCCCCCCCCCCAAGTCAGAGGAGGGCAGCCTAGCTGTGCTGTTGGGGAGGGGCTGTTTGGGGGACTGGCTCCAGCTGTCTCTCTCTGGTGGGTAATGTACAGCTAGGACCCTGCCCCCAACCCCCCTGCCCTGCCTTCTGCTCCCCCCCCTTTGTATCTGCCCTGCAGCCCCCCCTCCTTAACACCTCTCCTCCATGCTCACACAACTCCCAACCTCCCTTCCCCACCTCCTCCATCCCTCATAACCCCCAGCCTCCCTCTCCCCTCGTAGACCCCCAAGTTGCCCCCTCCCAGCATGTCACACTCCCCCACCCCCCTTCCCTCTGACCCACACACACAGACAGCTCAGGCAGGGGGGAAAGTCTGGTTGCTATTTATTGAAACCCAGAGCTACCCTACAAAAGCCACCAGCTCCCTGCATCGCTTTCACATTGTGGTGCCCCTCCCCACAGCATCCCCCCCCTCCAGCCATGGGGGTGGGGAACCCCTGCTGCAATGGGGAGCAGGGGGGTCTTTTGGCTTTGTCACTAGCGCTGGGGACAGGATCGGGCCAGACGTGCTGACCGAAAAGCTGCTTCAAGGGGCCCTTTTATCTCCGTAAAGCCTCGGGCGTCTGGAGTCACGTGAATCCAGGCAGGATCAATAGGCCGAGACGCCGACTTTAGGGGCTGGCGGGATGAAGGTTTTCAGTGTGGGGGAGCCAGCCCCGGTGTGATTATCCCGTCCAGGCCAGCCCTGAATTAACCAGGCCTGGAACCCATCCACCCCAGAATCTGAACCCGGGACCCTTCTACCAGCGTCCCCGAGCCCGAGGCAACACCGGGCCTCAAAAAGGAAACCCGACGGTTTGGAAAACGTCCTGAGAGTTAGTAAGGGGGAAAAGCCAAGTTTTTGGACCCTCGGATGGGGGGCAAAAATCCCGCTTTCCAAAATGGTCTTTTTTTTGTTTCTCCTTCCGGAAAAGGACATTTTTTTGGTGGGGGGTTGGCGGCGTTGCCTGGACATGACACAGCCAAGGTGGGGAACGTAATGTCTTTTACCGGCCCAACTCCCAGGGGAGGGACATGAGCTCTGCAGAAGTTCGGAAACTTGTCTCTTTCCCCAGTTGTGGGCCCAATAAAAGAGATCAGTTGCTCTGATTTGGTTGCATGGTCTCCACATTTTTTGGGGGTGGGGGTGTTCCCCGCCTGGCTGGCAGAATATCAGTTTCCTTCAGCTCCAGGGAACCTGTCCCTGGAGAAAGGGAATATTGGAGTGGTTAGAGCAGGAGTCCTGGCTCCCAGCTCTCAGCACTAGACCCCACTGCCCTCCCAGAGCCAGGGAGAGAACCCAGGAGTCCTGATTCTCTATAGGGCCCCTTTCTGCCAATATAACTGCTGTGTCGGGGCAGGGGGGCAAGTGGGCCACGGCGGGGCAGAATGGCCAGGGTTGGGGTAGAATTTGGGGGGCAGGAGATGGCTACTTTGAGGGGAGGGGGCTGCACCAGAGGCCGGGGGGCTGTTAAGGCACTGGGCTGAAGAGGCATTAAATGCTAAGGCTGCTGCGGTGGAGGAGCTCTGCTGCGGGTGGGGGCATTGGGGCTTTTCTAGAAGGGAAATGGAGCCATCGGGTGGGATCTAGAGATCGCTGGAGGAGGACGCAAGACCCCAGGGTTTTCTAGAGCAGAGATGGAGCCATCGGGGTGGGATCTAGAGGTTTCTGGATGAAAACATGTAGGCATAAGGGATTTTTCCAGAAGGGAGATGGCGGCGTCAGGGCAAGATCTAGAGCTCTCTGGAGGAGGAAGTGGCGGCATCGGGATTTTTCTAGAGAGGAGGTGGAGGCACTGGGGCGAGATCGAAAGGTGCCTGGAGAAGGACATGGACTTTTCTAGAGGAGCGACGGAGGCGCTGGAGCAGGATCTAGAGATCTCTGGAGGCGGAAGCGGAGGTGTCGGGATTTTTCTAGGGGGGAGATGGAGGCGGCGGGGTGGGAACTAGCGGTTTCTGGAGGAAAACATGTAGGCACGAGGATTTTTCTAGAGGGGAGAAGGAGCCATTGGGGTGAGATCTAGCCGTTTCTGAAGGAGGAAGCGGAGGCCCCGGGCTTTCTCGACAGGGCAGACAGAGCATTCTCTGGCTCCGAGGGGGCGCCTGTACCAGGATTGCCTCCCACCCCGTGATCAGGGGGGTGCCCCCCCCTAGACAGCCCCGTCCTTAACCCTTTGCTCTCTGAAGGGGCTGGGGCGAGCAGCGTTAGTGACCCTGGGCCTGTCTCTGGGTGGTGAGGTAGTTTGAAAAGAGAAAGGAGACCCAGGGTTCGATTAAACGCCCGCCCCGACACCTCCTGTGTGGTGGGGGGAGGGTGCTGATGTGGGGTGAATTCTGCAATTGGGACCTGTCCCAGGCGGAAAACAGGTCTGAAGGCGCATGGCTTCCCCTCCCCCCAGCCCCGCTCAGGAAGCCAGGCGTCCCGGGAAGAACCCAGGAGTCCTGAGGCTCCATGGGACGCTCACCCCTACCTCCCCCATTGCTGTAACAGTAACAGCATCTCCTCCAGCCCTGGAGATTCCAGACGCTCGAGGGTTAATCCTCAGCAGGATGGGAACACGCCCCTATCTCCTGGTGGGGAAACTGAGGCACAAAAAGTGGACGGTCCGCGGCCCCGTCGCTGGGGATAGGACCCAGGAGTCCTGGCTCCCAGCCCCTCCCCCCCAGCTATAACCACTGGACCTCACTCCCCTCCTGGAGCCAGGGAAGGGACCCAGGAATCCTGGGGGGGTGTCACGATACTAGCCCCAACAGTGAGACTGGCATCACTCTTTGGTCTGGCTGCTGGCTCCAAATTAAATAAGAGCAATAAATTAGATTGTCGCCCAGGGAGCACCATGGACTCACCCGGCCCCCGCCCTGGCACAGTCAGATTCACAGTCCCTCTTCGACTGACGCCAGGGAATGAGTACAAGCGGGGGAGAGGGGGTGTTCCTGTCTCCATGGGAACCAAAGAGGTGGGAGGCATTGTCTGGAGGGAACTGTTGCTATGGGATCCCCCACCCACCCACTCCAGCAGTAACCAAAGCGTTATCACGGCAACAAATGCCTGGTGTTGTTCCTCTGGGGACCTGCCACGTTGCCACGGCGACAGGGAGCTAAGGAGAAGCCGGTTGTGCTGTAGTCAGGGGACTCAGTAGTCCGGGGAACCTGCCATTGCCATGGCACCAATGGCCCAATCAGGACCTTTGTCCCATGGAAATGGGAGGCTGCCATGACTACAGGGCGCAAATAGGAGGGCCTTAGCGCCATTCCCATGGAAACCAGTCACTGCCAGAAGCTGCAGCGTTGCCGCGGTAACAGTCGACCGATGGAAGGACCTTGGCACCATTCCCATGGAAACCAGGAGCTGTAGCATTGCCACGGTAACAGTCGATGGAAGAGCACTGGCGCCGTTCCCATGGACACCAGTTGATGCCAGGGTCTGTAGCGTTGCCATGGTGACAGTTGGCCAATGGGCGGGCCCTAGCACCGGTCTCAGCGTTGCCATGGCTGCAGCGCAGCGAGAGCCAGTGGGAGGCGGTGGTGCCCTTGCCCCAGTGACGTCTGGGCCCCCGAGCTGGCCCAGTGGGGTCCATGTGTCTGTGCCGGGGGACGGGGGGGCGGGTCAGTGCCCCCCACCGCTGCTGCGGCCGGTCGTCACCCAGTCAGCCACGATGAAGCTGAGACTCATCACCATGAAGATGAAGCCGAGGGCAGCAAAACAGGCGGCCTGGGGGGCAGAGGGGGAGCAGAAGGTGAGACCCCCCGCAAGTACAGCCCAGCTCCCTGCCCCCACCCCACAGAACGGCCCCCTCGCCAAGCCCCCCACTCCCCACAGCATGGCACCCCCCCAAACGAGCCCTCTGCTCGCCACAGAATGGCGCCCCCCACTCCCCAGGGCACTGCGCCCCCCAGCGGTGGGTACCTGGATTTTTGGCCTGGATCTCAGCGGTTCTTTTTCATTGGGAACGATGCGGAGGTAGAAGATGCTGGGGAGGATGAAGATGAGACTGGGGGCGGAGGTGGCGCCTGGGAGGAGAGAGGAGAGAGGGCTGAGATGCAGCTACCTCTGGGGTGGGGTGAGGCAGCTGAGGAGCTGCTGCACGTAACGCCGCACGGGGAGGGCTTGCCTGGCGCTGAGATGCAGCCACCTCTGGGATGGGGCAAGTGGAGAACAGCCGCACGTAACGCTGCACGGAGACGGCTCGCCTTGGAGGGCCAACCCCCAGCCCATTTGGAGCCAGGGACTTACCAATGACTCCAAAGATATCCCGGATGTTAGGGACAAAGATGACGAGGAGATTGACAACGAACAGAAGGCCGATAGCGATGCTCACATGTCGAACCCAGCTAAAATCCTTCCCATGGAAGAGTAGCTGCTGGATGGCTCTGCGGATCTGGGAGGAGACAAGGAAAGAGGTCAGGGATATGGCAGTGGCTCGCCCAGTGCTGAGATGCAGCCACCTCTGGGGTGGAGCAGCCAGGGAACATCCACACGTAACGCTGAACAGGGATGGCTTGGCCAATGCTGAGATGCAGCCACCTCTGTGACAGGGCAGCCGGGGAAATGCCGCACACAACGCCACACCAGGACAGCTTGCACGGGGCCAAGATGCAGCCACCTCTGGGGCGGGGCAGCCGGGGAACAGCCGCACATAACGCCACACCAAGACAGCTCGCTTGGCGCCAAGATGAAACCACCTCTGTGGCGGAGCCGCTGGGGAACAGCCACACATAATGCTGAACGGGGACGGCTCGGCCAATGCTGAGATGCAGCCACCTCTGGGGCGGGGCAGCTGGGGAACAGCCACACATAACGCCACACCAAGACAGCTTGCCCAGCGCCGAGATGCAGCCACCTCTGGAGCGGGGCAGCCGGGAGACATACCGGGAAGAGCACCACGGGTACCGTCAGCGTGACGGCCATCAGCACGGCCAGTCGGACGCAGAGGATGAGCCGGTCCAGGGGATCCACCTCGCTGTACGTGTGCAGCATTTCCGACTCGACGTTCCCTGCGGGAGACGGAAGGGCCGGGGGGCCGGCCGTTAGCTGGGAGCCCAGCCGGGCCCCACGCAGGACAGGGTGAGGGGTGGAGGATCGGGGAGGGACACGCAGCCATAGCGGTGGGGTTGCAGGGGAAATGGCTGGGCAGAGGGGGCACTAGGGGGCACTGATGGGGTCAGTGCAGCGGGAGCCGGGCCCTGGGAAGGGACCCTGCCGCCCCCTGCTGGGGGCCCAGCCCCGCGCTGCCTTACCGTAGAAGGTGAGGTAGCCGAAGATGGCCGTCAGCAGGTACATGACGAACATGGCCAGGATGGAGACGTTCGCCACGTTCTGCATGCGCCGCTTCGAGGCCCTGGCGGGGGACAGATGGGTCAAACGCCGCCCTGCCCTGGGGGCTGGCTGGGGAGAACCCAGGAGTCCGGGCTCCCAGGTCCCCTACCAGACCCCACTCCCCTCCCAGAGCCAGGGAGAGAACCCAGGAGTCCGGGCTCCCAGGTCCCCTCCCAGACCCCAGTCCCCTCCCAGAGCCAGGGAGAGAAGCCAGGAGTCCGGTCTCCCAGCCCCGCTACCAGACTCCACTCCCTTCCCAGAGCCAGGGAGAGAACCCAGGAGTCCAGGCCCCCAGCCCCGCTACCAGACCCCACTCCCGTCCCAGAGCCAGGGAGAGAACCCAGGAGTCCGGGCCTCCCGCTCCCTGAGCGCCAATAACAACAGCGTTAGTGACTTGATCTCCCTGAACCCACCTGGCCGTGCCCTCCTCCGGCCACCCACCCCCTTTCCCTCCCCGCCCCTCACCTGCGTAGCTCTGTGTAGATGGGCAGCACCTCTGGGTGACAGACGAATGCAAAAGCCAAGATGGGGATGGTGTACGCCGTCTGTGGGGGGAGGAGAAAGGCTGACTGCTAGAGCCAGGTGAGAACCCAGGCGTCCTGGCTCCCCGCCCCCCCTGCTCTAACCCACCGGACCCCACTCCCCTCCCAGAGCCAGGTGAGAACCCAGGTCCGCCCCAGCCCCCCTGCTCTAACCCACCGGACCCCACTCCCCTCCCAGAGCCAGGTGAGAACCCAGGAGTCCGGGCTCCCGGCCCTCCCTGCTCTAACCCACCAGACCCCACTCGCCTCCCAGAGCCAGGTGAGAACCCAGGAGTCCGGGCTCCCGGCCCCCCCTGCTCTAACCACTGGCCCCCACCCCCCGCTCTCACCTGGGAGTTGACGGTGAAGGTCTGGGCCGTGCACTCGTCCCCAGCGGTGCCCGCGGAGCTGGCATTGTGCCCATTGTAGTAGACGAGGGATGTCACGGGCTCGGTCCCGTTCAGCGGGCAGGAGATCTGGAACTTCTTGTAGATCACCTGGGGGGGGAGCCATGGGGTGGGGGGAGGCGGTGAGAGACACCCCTTCCCCAGCAGCGGGGTTACCCCCGCCTCCCGCCAGCCAGGGAGCCAGGACTCCTGGGTTCTTTCCCTGGTGGGCAGGCGGGGGAGGGGCAGCGGGTGGGGGGGCAGGGCGGACTCACCGACATGAGGAAGAAGACCATGCAGGTCAGCGAGAGCCCGCTGGTGTACCCCAGATAGCCTGTGGGGGAGGGGAGAGAGGGTGAGACCCGCGGGGCTGACCCTTGCCGGGGGGGCGGGCGCCCCCCCCATACACACACCCAGCCCCACACTCACCAAGATGTTTCATGAGTGCCAGGGGCAGGATGACACAGACGCTGACGATGATAATTAGCACGTTGCCATTCATGTACCAGTTCCTGCGAGAGACAAACCCGGGGGGGGGGGTCAGCGCCCCCTGCAGGGGGAGGTGGGGATGGAGCAGCCAGGAGCACCCCCCCCCCCCCGGGCAGCCGGCACTCCACAGCGCCCCCTGCTGGGAGAGGCGGGGCCAGGAGGGAAATGCTCCTGATTCCTCAGGAGCAGGATATCGGGGTGCGGGGGAAGGGGAGGGTCAGGAATGGCCCCGGGTGACACAGGTGTGGGGGCAAAACTCATGGGGGGGGCAGGGAACTAGAACCTTCTATGGGACCCTCCAGGAACCCTATGGAATTAGAGAGCTCCTTCTCCATGGCTTGATGCAATCCGTGGGGCCGGGAGCCAGGACACCTGGGTTCTCTCCCCAGCTCTGGGAGGGGAGTGGGGTCTAGTGGTTAAAGCGGGGGGGGGGCTGGGAGCCAGGACTCCTGGGTTCTCTTCCCAGCTCTGGGAGGGGAGTGGGGTCTGGTAGGACGGTGTGGGGGCCAGGCTGACTGTAGGGGATGAGGGCACCATGCCCGGGCAGGGAAGGCGTGTGAACAGGAGAGCCAGATGTCCCCATTTATAGACAGGAATGCGGCCCGGGGCCTTTCCCCTCTAGGGGGCGCCGGCTCCCATCTGGCCACAGGGCAGGGGGCCGGCTGGCAGTGGGGCGGGAACGGTTCCCCGCGCGGTCTCACTCACTCCGTGTTCTCCGTCAGGCCCAGGAACGTCTGTATCACTAAAGGCAACTCGTATTTCACAATGTACAGGTAACTGGACATGGCTGCAAGAGAAACACCCGCGTCAGGACGCCTGGGTTTCCTCCCCGGCCCTGGGCAGGGTGTGGGGGGGCTGGTGGGTTAGCGCAGGGGGGCTGGGAGCCCGGACGCCTGGGTTCCCTCCCCAGCTCTGGGAGGTGAGTGAGGGCTAGTGGTTTAAGCAGGGGGGGCTGGCAGCCAGGACTCCTGGGTTCCCTCCCCGGCTCTGGGCGGGGAGTGGGGTCTAGTGGGTTAGAGCTGGAAGTGGGGGGGCTGGGAGCCCGGATGCCTGGGTTCCCTGCCCGGCTGTGGGCGGGGAGTGGGGTCTAGTGGGTTAGAGCTGGAAGTGGGGGGGCTGGGAGCCCGGATGCCTGGGTTCCCTGCCCGGCTGTGGGCGGGGAGTGGGGTCTAGTGGGTTAGAGCTGGAAGTGGGGGGGCTGGGAGCCCGGATGCCTGGGTTCCCTGCCCGGCTGTGGGCGGGGGAGTGGAGTCTAGCGGCTAGATCCAACTCTCACCTCCCGTGTTGTGCACACAGATGACCACCGCCGCCACCACCTTGCCGCCCGGGCCGAACGCCCGGTAACCCAGCTCTTCGTAGGCGCGGATCCCTGCGCGGGAGGAAAGAGACGGGAGTTAGGGAGCGTCGGCGCCTTCCGCTGGGCGAGGCCAGGGCTGGAGGAGCAGGGAGCTTCCCCCCACTCGACTCACCTACGACGCCAGCACATTTCAGCAGCAGGTGGATGGAGTACGCGGAGAGAAGCGCGATGCAGATCAATAGCACGCTGCCAAGAGAACGGTGGGCAGGTGTAAGTCCCCCTCCCGGAGCCAGGGAGAGAACCCAGGAGTCCTGGCTCCCAGACCCCACCCCCCACGCAACCACTAGGTCCCACTCCCCTCCCGGAGCCGGGAGAGAACCCAGGAGTCCTGGTTCCTTCTGCTATAGCTCCCAACCATTGACACCACCTGGTGGAGAAGGAGTATATCTTGCTGATCCCAGAGCAGTGATCTTCCCCCGGGCAGTGCCCTGTGGGGGGAGGCAGTGGCCCCAGCGCGGTGATCTTCCCCCGGGCAGTGCCCTGTGGGGGCAGCAGTGACCCCAGAGCTGCGATCTTCCCCCAGGCAGTGCCCTGTGGGGGCGGCACTCACACGAAGAGCACAATGCCCGTGTTGCTCATGGCGTAGGCAAGGCCCAGGATGCCACTGCCCATGATGGCGTTGCTGAGGTTAAAGACCGACATCCCGAACGACGTCTTCCCCTCGAACTGTGGACAAGAGAGAGAGACGGGGCGGGGTGAGAGCCTGGGGGAGGGTGGAGGTCAAAGGGCAAGGGATGGTGAGGAAAGGGCAAGGGTCAGGGGTCAAAGAACAAAGCAATTAACAGAGCAGACAAAGGTCAAAGAACACATTGCGTCAATAGAAGGGCAAGGGTCATACACTGAAGAGCAAAGGTCAGCAAGGAGAGGGCAAAGGTCGGAGGTCAAAGATCAAACCACTTCAAGGTGAGGACAAGAGTCAGAGGTCAAAGGACAACTGAGAGGCCAAAGAGGAAGGGCAATGAGAAAGCGCAAGGGTCAGAGGTCAAAAAGCAAAAGATGACAAGGAGAGGGCAAGGGTCAGAGGTCAATGAGAAAAGAGGCGGGACAAGCTCAGATGTCAAAGAGCAAAGGACAATGAGGAGAGGGTGAAGGCTGGAGGTTAAAGGGGTCACTGGGTGTGGAATCGATGAAAGGTCAAAGGTCAGGGGTCAAAGGGGACACAGGGTGAGGAATCAACGAAAGGTCAAAGGGTAGGGGTCAAAGGGGACACCCGGCAAGGAATCGACGAAAGGTCAAAGGGTGAAGATTAAAGGGACAGCGGGCGAGGGTCCAATGAAAGGTCAAAGAGCAGGGGTCAAAGAGGGGAGGGACTAGTCAAGGGCTTTGGCTGCTGGGGGGTGGGATCGGCTCTGCGTCAGGGCCCGGACGCCTGGGTCCCACTTACGTCAGTGAACTGGCTCAGCTTCTTGCCGGCGGCGTGGGGCAGGAAGCCCTCCTGCTCGGCCGCTGTCACCTCCGCCGTGGGGTCCCTGCCAGGGGAAGGGCTGCAGGGTGAGAGGGCTGCAAGCTCGGATGCCTGGGTCCCTTCCCCAGCGCAGCTCCCCAGGCGCTTCCCATTTAGAGCATCCCCCTCCCCAATGCGGGGGTCGCCCACCCAGCCGCCCCCAGTAGCCCTGGTTACTCACCCAGATACCCCCATTACTCCCCCCACTAGCCCCCCAATCCCCCCCGTCCATTCCCCCCCCCCCGATACTCACCCATCCTCCAGGCTGCTGGCTTTGTCGCACTCCGGGACAGACCCGTTTAACATCTCCAGCCCCTCCTGCTCCTCCATCTTCTGCAGCTCCATGGCGGACGCGGGCCAGTTCGGGGTGTGGACGTGAGGTGCGTGTACGGGGGGGCGGGGTGTCAGAGATCACTGTTGGGGCGCAGCGCCGGGGTCACCTTCCCACCTAGAAACCCAGAGAAAGGGATCAGGCAGGAATGCCCCCACCCAAACGAAGGAGAAGCTCAATCCCTGCGTGGGTTGGGGGGCTGGGAGCCAGGACTCCTGGGTTCTCTCCCCAGCTCTGGGAGGGGAGTGGGATCTAGTGGTTAGAGCGGCGCGGGCAGCAGGGGACAGTCTCCTAGGAGGGCCAATGGCGTGAACACAAGATTCGCCGCTGCCCGTCAGCCGGGATCCCACAGACGAATCTGAACGCAAAGAGGCAATGGCCCTGACGGATCCACCCCAGGGACAGCGTCACCCCCCTCAAGAATTCACAGATCTAAGCCCAGACGGGACTTCCGGGATCACCTAACCCGCTCTCCGATATCACGCTGTCTCAGCGACCTCCCGGAAACAACCCCAGGGCAGATCTTTTGGCAAAACACCCTGTCTTGACTGCAAACTGGCCCGTGACAGCAGTACAGCTGAGACTCGTGTTTATCCCGCATAGCCGAGGGCAACGGAATCAAGAATTTTGCATCCAAAAGTTGTTGGTTTCTTTCCCATCAAAACCTGGCCTTTTTGCTCAATCTGAGACTTTCACCCAAAACGTCTCGGGGAACTTTCGGGTCGTTAAGCCTCAATGTTCTGAATTGCGCAACGTCGTGTCGTCTAACTGAGCCGATTTTCTCCTTTGAAAGTTACACTTTGCCACATGAGCTAATTTCCTGAATGGTCCCTTTTCCCCCTGCGTTCGAAACGCCACTTTTTCAAATGCAGCCACGTTTTCTATGTTTGAAAACGCCGACATTTCTCCTTCAAGTTCTCTCATTTCAAAGCCGCAGTTTGTCCAGTGAATCAATTCTCTCTCATTTTGACATTTCAAATTTCCTACTGAAAACACGTGTTACGTTTGGAACTGTCGGTTTCGCTAAACAATCCAGTGATTTAGTGCTGAAATATCTGATTTTCTAATCAAGCAAATATTCCCAAGTTCAAACTGTTTTCACTGAATCACGTTTTCTATTTTTGACATTGAAAATGTCCTGAATAACCTTTTGCTCTATTTCTGGAATGTCGACATTTCCAATTAATCCATGTCCCTCATTTTGAAACATCAGATTTGCTAACGAAAATACTTGAAAAACACCGGGACGTCCATTCATTAGGCCAAGTTATTTATTTTGGAAGTGTCCAACTTGGCAACGTTCGACATTTGAAATGTCCTTTTCACTTTTTAAAATGTTTGAAATGTTAAATGTTTCTCATCAGACTAACCAGATCTTTCCATTTTTTACATTTCAAAAGTTCTAATGACTGCCCTTTGCTTCAATTTCCAATTCCCAAACAACCCTCTTTTCCTCATTTTCAAAATTGACTTTTTTTTTTTTTTGAAATTTGCACTTTTTAAAACGGCCTGATTCAGCCAAGCCACCTCATTTGGAATCTGCCGCTCAATCCAATTTCCAAATCTTGACATTTCAGAGTTTCTAATTAGCCCCTTTCTTGAAACGTCTCCCTTTCGATGATTAAATTCCGATTTCTGTCCGTTTCAAACGTCCTGAGTAACCCAGTTTCCTCCCGGTGAAACGTCCCATGTTCGAATCAGTCACGCCCGGCTCTTCAAGCGCGTTTTGGTGCCTAATTCCCTTTGACTGATGAAACCTGCACACACTGAGTGCCATAAAATGGACAATTTCTCCTCTCCCAATCCTTAACACGCGTGAGCAGAATTACAAACGAGGCTTTGTCCACTGGCAATAACACTTCCCGATCTCTGCCAGAAAAACCTCGCCCGATCCATCCTGCCACACCAACCACTTGGAGGGGTTCATGTGACTCATCCCTTCCTCCGCTCCACCGAGAGCAAAGCAATAATGGAACCGATTGCCTGGGGAGTGGGGTGGCGGGGGTGGGGGGGCACAGATCTGGAGAGAGCCAAGCTGTTCCTGGTGAATGCAATGAGCTGATCAGAAAGAAGCCCCCCGGTCTGCCATTTTTCAGATGGGGAAACTGAGGCACAGCTAGTCATCCCAGGTCCTGGGAGCCCTGGAGTAGCTTCCCGACCACTCAACAACACTTCCCCTCCATGATGGGACAGAGAGAATGTCACCAACAAACTCACGGCTCTGGGAGGGGAGTGGGGTCTGGTGGTTACAGCAAGGGGGGGGCTGGGAGCCAGGACTCCTGGGTTCTCTCCCCAGCTCTGGGAGGGGAGTGGGGTCTGGTGCGAGAGCAGGGGCAGGCTCAGAGTCAGCGGGTTGGCTGATGTCTTCCTGAACCGAGCGCCAGGGAACGGACGGGAACACCGGCCGCCCGGGGCAGGTTGTGCGCCCATCTCGGCTGGGTGGGGCGGGAAGGCGCCTGGCTCCCCCTAAGGGCAGGAGCTGTGCCCATTCCTGCATTTCCCACATGCTGGGGCTTAACTTTGATGCCTGATTCTTCCGGACTTGGCGGCCGCACCCGGCCTCCTGGGTTCTATTCTTGGCTCTGAGAGGCTGATGGGGTCTAGTGGTTGGGGGGAAGGAGGGCGCGAGGGGCTGGGAGCCAGGACTCCTGGGTTCTCTCCCTGGCTTGGGGAGGGGAGTGGGGTCTAGTGGTTGGAGCAGGTGTGTGCAGGGTGGGCGGTACTGGGAGCCCGAACGCCTGGTTTCTACTTCCCCGCTCAGATCAGTCCCAGTCGGAGGGTCCCTGCCTTGCCTTTCCATTCCCGCCCCAGAGGGTGGCAATGGCCCGCCCTGCTGGGGCCCCGCCCTCTGGCTCCGCCCCACTTCCCCCTCCCCAAAAGCTGGACCCAGGCATCCTGCTCTGACCACCAGTCCCCACTCCCCTCCCAGAGCAGGAGAGAGAACCCAGGAGTCCTGGGGTCCCTTCAGGTGACCCTCACCCACAGGCGGTCTTGCCTCGAAGGCTTTGGAGTGGTTGGAAAACTTTTGATCCACCTCTCAGCACCCCTACACTGGGGTCCGGGCAGCAAGGGGTTAACCACGGCCCATACCTGAAAAGGGTCCTTGGGAAGGTGGTGGGGTGCAGATCCAGAGCGGGGCGGGGGGGGGGGCTGAAAGCCTGGACTCCTGGGTTCCCTCCCCAGCTCGGGGAGGGGAGCAGGGTGCTGGGGTCATGTGCAGGGTCCCTGTCGCATGATCCTAGCTCCCCCCCCCCCACAGCGTCTGGCTGGTCACTGCTAATGTGGGGGGACCCAGGAGTCCTGGCTCCCAGCCCCCCTGCTCTAATCACTAGCCCCCACTCCCCTCCCAGAGCGTGTGAGAGAGAACCCAGGAGTCCTGGCTCCCAGCCCCCCGCCCCCTCCCCACGCTAACCACTAGACCCCCCCCTCCCCTCCCCTCCCGGAGCCGGGCTCCTGCTCGGCTCCCAGGCAGCTGCGGGATGCGAACACGTGGCTGTTGCTGGCTCCAGAGGAGTGGGGGAGGGGAGGAGGGGGGGCGTTAGGGGGGAGCCTGGGATTTAACCACTGACTGCTGGAGAGAAACTAGCCAAGACCAGAGCGCCCCCCCCCCCAGTTCCCGACACCCCCCCCCCAAAGCTCTGGGTTCCACACACCCCCCCCCGTCTGCAGAGCCCGCCCCCCGCCAGTTTCACTCCCATCGCCCCCCCCCCACTGAGTTAGGGGCTGGGGGGTGTGATCTTGTTGTGGGGATGTGACGGTGCAGTGCCCCCCCCGTCCGCCGCCGCCCCCCCCCCCGGGCTCTGCCGCCCCCCGTCCCGTCCCCCGCCCCCCCCCCCGGTGGCTGATGCAACTGCCTCGTGGCCTTGCAACAGGGGTTGTGTCGCCCCCCCCGCACACCCGCACCCGGCGCTGTACACTCACCCGGGCGTGAGGCGGGAACAGGCCAGACGGGGAGATCCGGGGTCGGGCCAGGTGTGTGTGTGGGGGGGTCGCACACCCCGTAGGCCCAGCCGCGCGCTCCCCCAGCCGCACACCCGCGCCCGGAGACGTGCACACCCGGCCAATCACACCCCTGCGCAGGCGGGGGCTGGGGCGGGTGTGAGTCTGGCCTCACAACGTGGAGACCGGCACAGCACACACCTCCAACACCCCCACCCCCTGCAACACCCCCTGCAACACCCCCACCCCCACCCCCTGCTGGCCCTACACAACGACACCCCCCCAACACAACACAACACAACACACAACCTGCTGGCCCTAGACAACACACACAGATTGACACACACACACACGCAACACCCAGAGCTGGCTGTGCCCAGTACAACTGCACACCTGCTGACACAACACGCAACACGCACCTCCCACCCCAAAACTGATCAACGCACACCTGCCTATCCCCAACACACACACAGAGCCAGCTGTCCCCAATGCAATCACACACCTGCCAGTCCCATGGCGCACACACGCCCATCCCTATTTCCTCCCAACACAACATGTAGGCATGGACCCACACCCACACCCACACAGCAGGGCTTGTCCTCTCCAGCAGGGGGACACACCCGCAAACACACACCCACTCCCACTAATGAAACATACCACACCTAGTGGTTAGAGTGGGGCAGGGGGTCAGGGGGGCTGGGAACCAGGACTCCTGGGTTCTCTCCACAGCTCTGGGAGGGGAGTGGGGTCTGGTGGGTTAGAGCAGGGGGGCTGGGAGCCAGGACTCCTGGGTTCTCTCCACAGCTCTGGGAGGGGAGTGGGGTCTGGTGGGTTAGAGCAGGGGGGCTGGGAGCCAGGACTCCTGGGTTCTCTCCACAGCTCTGGGAGGGGAGTGGGGTCTGGTGGGTTAGAGCAGGGGGGCTGGGAGCCAGGACTCCTGGGTTCTCTCCACAGCTCTGGGAGGGGAGTGGGGTCTAGTGGTAAGAGCAGGAGGGGGCTGGGTACTTCAACCCACTGGACCCAGCTACTCCAGCCCTGGCCTCTCCCAGCGGGGGGCGCTGTGGGGCAGGACGCTGGCTGTGGGGGGAGCGCCCGGCTCGGGGGAGAGCCCGGTCCAGCTGGCAGCCGTGGGAGTTTCCACTGTGCATTGTGATGTGTACACACAAGCCACTGGGATTCATGTCTCTATAAGGGCCGGTGGCGGGTGCGTCTCGGGGCCGCGTCCTGCCTTCGTCTTCCCCTTCGGGCCCTGACGCGGATGGGTTTGCATCTGACGGAAGTTTTAATTAGGCCTCGTGGCTATTTGGCTGTAATTATTCTGGTGTTCGTTAAAATATCCGGGGGGCACTAAAATAATTATAGTTAGCAGCCGTTGAGGGTGTGTCAGAGTCAGGAACAGCTAATTACCAGGCAGAGAGGAACCCAGGAGTCCTGGCTCCCAGCCCCCGACCCCCCTGCTGTAACCATTAGACCCCTCTCCCTTCTCAGAGCCAGGGAGAGAACCCAGGAGTCCTGGCTCCCAGCCCCCCCTGCTCTAACCACCAGCCCCCAGTTCCCTCCCAGAGCCAGGGATGGGACCCAGCCTGGGCTGGTCAGAGCCGGGGAAGCAGTGGGAGCCGCAGTGGCCTTGCACTGCTGTCCCCCAATACAGCCTCTCTTGGCTTCCCCCACACCAGCTAGTGCCCTGCCCTGCTCCCCACAGCACCCCCTGTTGGGCAAGGTCAGGGACTGCATCAAGAAGAGACAGGAGGGGAGGGGTTAAACCCAGAGCCCTTACAGACCCCATGCCCGCACGCACACACCCCACCCCGGTGCCCCAGGGCCCTTGCCAGCCATGGCCTGGGAAGCTGGATAAGCTAATCGTTGGATCACAACGCGCGCCCCACCCATCAGAGGCGCCCCCCCATGTGCTTCCCCGCCCTTCCCCCCCCATTAAAGAGTGTCCCTTTCACAATTCCCAGCCCGGGGGGGGAGGTGGGGGGCAGATCTGCCCTCGGGAGCCAATTGCCTCCTTAACAAGCCGGCTGCGCCTACTCCGTAATTGTGACATTGCAGGCGAGATACAGAGGGACCCGGCTTCAGGGCTGGCCACAGGACAGTGCTTGTTGAGTACTGGTACTCTCCCCAGCATTACTGCCACTCCTGCAACCGCTGCGGCTGGCAGGCTACACCTGCCCCCAGCGGGGGTGTTCCCTGAGATATGGCCTTCAGCATCCGTTGGGGCGCAGAGAGGCTGGGGTCAGGGAGAAAGGTGTAGAAACACCGTTACCCTCAACAGTGCAACAGACATCGTGACTGCTAGTGCTACACGCGGTTACCGTCAACAACGCTGTGAACGCTGTTCCTGCTACACACGGCGTTAGCAACACCGTTACCCTCAACCGTGCAACAGACATCGTGACTGCTAGTGCTACACGCGGTTACCGTCAACAACGCTGTGAACGCTGTTCCTGCTACACACGGCGTTAGCAACACCGTTACCCTCAACCGTGCAACAGACATCGTGACTGCTAGTGCTACACGCGGTTACCGTCAACAACGCTGTGAACGCTGTTCCTGCTACACGGCGTTAGCAACACCGTTACCCTCAACCGTGCAACAGACATTGTGATTGCTAGTGCTACACGCGGTTACCGTCAACAACGCTGTGAACGCTGTTCCTAGCAACACCGTTACCCTCAACCGTGCAACAGACATCGTGACTGCTAGTGCTACACGCGGTTACCGTCAACAACGCTGTGAACGCTGTTCCTGCTACACACGGCGTTAGCAACACCGTTACCCTCAACCGTGCAACAGACATCGTGACTGCTAGTGCTACACGCGGTTACCGTCAACAACGCTGTGAACGCTGTTCCTGCTACACACGGCGTTAGCAACACCGTTACCCTCAACCGTGCAACAGACATCGTGACTGCTAGTGCTACACGCGGTTACCGTCAACAACGCTGTGAACGCTGTTCCTGCTACACACGGCGTTAGCAACACCGTTACCCTCAACCGTGCAACAGACATCGTGACTGCTAGTGCTACACGCGGTTACCGTCAACAACGCTGTGAACGCTGTTCCTGCTACACACGGCGTTAGCAACACCGTTACCCTCCACAATGCTCCAGACGCCATTCCTGCTCCTGCTCCACACGGTGTTAGCTACACTGTTACTGCTCACGCTGTTGCCAGAAAATACTCCAAACCGTTATCACTCACATTGTTGCTACTGCTACAACAAACAGCTACACACGGTTACCGTCAACAACGCTGTGAACGCTGTTCCTGCTACGGACAGTGTTAGCTACACTGTTACTGCTCACGCTGTTGCCAGAAAATACTCCAAACCGTTATCACTCACGTTGTTGCTACTGCTACAAGAAACAGCATCATTAACAATGCCACAAACACAGTGACAGTGAACGTTGTCACTCAGACTCCAACACCATAACCCCGACTGAGCCTACTGACACTGTCGTTAATTGTGGGAACGTGGTAGCCATTGACGTTATCACCACTAATCCTACAAGTATTCTGCTCAGTAACATCACCATAACCCCATCACTGCTCCCAATAATACAGCCATCCCCGCCACTCCCGTTGTTACCTCTGATTCTCCAGTCACTACCCACATTGTAAGCCCCATTACTACTTAGTTATTACTCCAATTGTTACCACTGTTACTCCAAAGAGTTACTAGCCAAATGGCACCACCAACACACCAAAGGGTTACTAGTGAAATCAATGCCACTAATATTGCTAGTAGTTACTACTAAAATTGGCACAAGTAATACTCCAAAGAGTTACTAATGGTCCAAAGGATCGCTACTCACACTGATACCACTAATACTGCAAAGAGTTTCTCATACTCTAAATGGCTACTCGTCAAATGGATACAGCCAGTGTTCCCAAGTTAATACTCAAATGGACATCACTCATACTCCAAAGAGTTACTAATCACATCGATAGCATGAATGCGCCAGTTATTAATACTCCAACTAGCTACTGCTTGAATCAATGCCACTGGTACTCCAAAGAGTTACTAGTCAAATTGATTTAACTATACTCCAGAGTTACCAGTCAAGTTGATAGCATTAATACTCTAAAAAGAAAAGGAGGACTTGTGGCACCTTAGAGACGAACCAATTTATTTGAGCATGAGCTTTCGTGAGCCACAGCTCACTTCATCGGATGCATACCGTGGAAACTGCAGCAGACATTATATACACACAGAGACCATGAAACAATACCTCCTCCCACCCCACTCTCCTGCTGGTAATAGCTTATCTAAAGTGATCATCAGGTTGGGCCATTTCCAGCACAAATCCAGGTTTTCTCACCCTCCGCCCCCCCCACACACAAACTCACTCTCCTGCTGGTGATAGCCCATAGAGTGGGGTGGGAGGAGGTTTTGTTTCATGGTCTCTGTGTGTATATAAAGTCTGCTGCAGTTTCCACGGTATGCATCCGATGAAGCGAGCTGTGGCTCACGAAAGCTCATGCTCAAATAAATTGGTTCGTCTCTAAGGTGCCACACGTCCTCCTTTTCTTTTTGCGAATACAGACGAACACGGCTGCTACTCTGAAACCTGTCATTAATACTCTAGTTATTAATACTCCAACTAGCTACTGCTTGAATCAATGCCACTGGTACTCCAAAGAGTTACTAGTCAAATTGATTTAACTATACTCCAGAGTTACCAGTCAAATCGATAACATTAATACTCTAGTTATTTATACTTCAACTAGCTACTGCTTGAATCTATACCACTAATACTCCAGAGTTACTAGTCAAATTGATACCGCTAATACTCCAAAGAGTTACTAATGCTCCAGATGGTTACTACCCAAATCAATACCACTAATACACTATGGAGTGATTACACGAATTGCTAACATTAATACTCCAAAGAGTCACTACTCAGATAGATACCACCAATACTCCAGCTAGTTACTACTCAACTTGATATCACTCCGAAACCTGTCATACACCAGAGTTACTCAAATCAATTCCATTAATACTACAAACAACCTGAGTACTTACATCGTTACCACTAATTCCAGGATCAACGTGACTCCTCAAATCCTCACCAATAGTTGGCACCACGGCCACTATTCGCCTTGTTCCTTAGATTTCTTTCCCTCTTAACGCCTCGGACTCACGCCGCTCTGTCCGGTGGCCAAT